TAGGCTATATAAGTTCGTATCATGGAGATAGAGCAAGCTATATATAGGCTAGTAGCACGGGGATAGAACAAGCTATATATAGGCTAGTAGCACGGGGATAGAACAAGCTATATATAGGCTAGTACCACGGCGATAGAACAGGCTATATATAAGCTAGTAGCACGGAGATAGAACAGGCTACATGGCTATATATAGGTTAGTACCACGGAGATAGAACAGGCTATATATAGGCTAGTACCACGGAGATAGAACAGGCTATATGGCTATATATAGGCTGGTAGCACTTAGATAGAACAAGCTATATATGGACCAGGAGCACTGGGGGAACGGAACAGGACACATATATCCATAGCAGTGATTTTGAAGTGGTTATATAAAGGCTAGTAGCACTGAGGATGAACTTGCTTTAGGAAGGCAATTAAGAGTGAGATATAACTTTCTATTAAAAAACTAGTAGCACTGATATATATTGGCAATATAAAGGCTAGTAGCAACGGTATGACGCTTACTGTAAAGAGGCTAGTCACTCAAAGATAGGACGATAATTAGCCAAGTGTCAAGGGTAAGGGTTGCGTCAAAGATATTTCTCAAGCCAGAAAATAAAACCAAATAAAAGTTGTAATGTTAAACATCTAACGTGTTACATGTTATGCAATTGTATGTGAAGGGTGTACATATGACATAGTTTGCAATGACGTCGTGGCACACTTCCCCATCATATCATATACATTGCAGTACTCCCCTTCCCTTTCATCGATTATAAAACTTCTCGTTCCCACCACGTCACGTCTATAAATGGATTCACTATGACTCAATGTAGTACAGGCTTGACTCACACGTTAAGCTAATGCTGAATATACGTTAACTTCGATTAACATTGATTTCTTGCATTGTTTCGGAAAAAAGTGTATGGGCCGACGTATTTCGATTCATTGGTGATGCAGTGCGGGGCTGAAGAGTCAAAATCCAAATGTATTTACCGCTGCATGTTACACCCTTAAATGATTCAGAACGCACTGGTGAAAAATATGAAAATATTTCTCGAACATAAATGTTTACTGTAGTTTGATGCCGGATCGGTCATAAAAAGAAATATTGGCATGGGAATGTAATTGGCATTGCACATTGCATGGTGCGTGGTTTTCGCTAATTGTTAGTCATATTATGTGAAACAATGCTTGAAGCTCAATTCTGGTGTTCTCGAAAGCCATGATATAGTTGATACTTTGCCAAAAGCGGCCGGAAAACCTTATATACTCACTCATCAGTCTTATTATGTTATGAATGTGGGGATTATAACATTGATATTAATTTTGTCATTTTCGACAGTAGCAGCATCTCTGTAGTCATTAACGGTATGTGTGGCATTATCATTTGCAGCAGTAGTAGCATGTTTGTCATTATCACCTTCAATAGAAGCATTTGTGACGTTATTAATTGCAGCAGAGAAGAATGTTTTACACTATTACCTGCCGTAGCAGAAGAATCTTTGATATTATAACCTGCCGTAGCAGAAGAATCTTTGATATTATTACCTGCCGAAGCAGAAGAACGTTTGATATTATTACCTGCCGTAGCCGAAGCATGTTTGATATTATTACCTGCCGCAGCAAAAGAATGTTTGATATTATCACCTGTCGTAGCAAAAGAATGTTTGACATTAGTACCTGCCGCAGCAGAAGAATGTTTGACATTATTACCTGCCTTAGCAGAAGAACGTTTAATATTATTACCTGCCGTAGCAGAAGAATCTTTGATATTCACCTGCCGCAGCAGAAGAATCTTTGACATTATTACCTGCAGCAGAAGAATGTTTGATATTATTACCTGTCGCATCAAAAGAATGTTTGACATTATAACCTGCTGCAGCAAAAGAATGTTTGATATTATTATCTGCCGCAGGAGAAGAATGTTTGATATTATTACCTGCCGCAGCAAAAGTATGTTTGACATATTTACCTGATGCAGCAAAAGAATGTTTGATATTATAACCTACCGCAACAGAAGAACGTTTAATATTATTGCCTGCCGTAGCAGAAGAATGTTTCATATTATAACCTGCCGTAGCAGAAGAATGTTTGACATTATTACCTGCCGTAGCAGAAGAATGTTTGATATTATTACCTGCAGCTGAAGCATGTTTCATATTATTACCTGCCGCAGCAGAAGAATGTTTCATATTATTACCTGCCGTTGCAGAAGAATGTTTGGTATTATTACATGCCGCAGCAGAAAAATGTACAATATTATTACCTGCCGTAGCAGAAGATCATTTGATATTATAACCTGCTGCACTCGAAGCATTTTTGATATTATTAACAGCCGTAGCAGAAGAATGTTTGATATTATTACCTGCCGCAACAAAAGAATGTTTGATATTATTACCTGCCTCAGCAAATGAATATTTGATATTATTACCTGCAACCGAAGAATGTTTGATATTATTACCTGCCGCAGAAGAATGTTTGATATTATTATCTGCCGCAGCAAAAGAATGTTTGACATTATTACCTGCGCAGCAAATGAATATTTGATATTATTACGTGCAGCCGAAGTGTGTTTGACATTATTACCTGGCGCATCAAAGGAATGTTTGACATTATTACCTGCCGCAGCAAAAGAATGTTTGATATAATTACCTGCCGTTGCAGAAGAATGTACGATATTTTTACCTGCCGTAGCAGAAGAATGTATGATATTATTACCTGCCGCAGCAGAAGAATGTTTGATATTATTACCTGCCGCAGCAGAAGAATGTTTGATATTTTTTCCTGCCGCAGCAAAAGAATGTTTGATATTATTACCTGTCGCAGCAAAAGAATGTTTGACAATATTACCTGCTGCAGCAAAAGGATGTACAATATTATTATCTGCCGCAGCAGAAGAATGTTTGAAATTATTACCCGCCTTAGCAGAAGAACATTTAATATATTTCCCGCCGTAGCAGAAGATCATATGATATTATAACCTGCTGCACTCGAAGCATTTTTGATATTATTAACAGCCGTAGCAGAAGAATGTTTGATATTATTACCTGCCTCAGCAAATGAATATTTGATATTATTACCTGCAGCCGAAGAATGTTTGATATTATTACCTGCCGCAGAAGAATGTTTGATATTATTACCTGCCGCAGCAAAAGAATGTTTGACATTATTACCTGCGCAGCAAATGAATATTTGATATTGTTACGTGCAGCCGAAGTGTGTTTGACATTATTACCTGGCGCATCAAAGGAATGTTTGACATTATTACCTGCCGCAGCAAAAGAATGTTTGATATAATTACCTGCCGTTGCAGAAGAATGTACGATATTTTTACCTGCCGTAGCAGAAGAATGTACGATATTATTACCTGCCGTTGCAGAAGAATGTACGATATTATTACCTGCCGCAGCAGAAGCATGTTTGATATTTTTTCCTGCCGCAGCAAAAGAATGTTTGATATTATTACCTGTCGCAGCAAAAGAATGTTTGTCAATATTACCTGCTGCAGCAAAAGGATGTACAATATTATAATCTGCCGCAGCAGAAGAATGTTTGACATTATTACCCGCCTTAGCAGAAGAACATTTAATATTATTACCTGCCGTAGCAGAAGAATGTTTGATATCCACCTGCCGCAGCAGAAGAATGTTTGATATTATTACCTGTCGCAGCAAAAGAATGTTTGACAATATTACCTGCTACAGCATTAAGGATGTACAATATTATTATCTGCCGCAACAGAAAAATGTTTGACATTATTACCCGCCTTAGCAGAAGAACGTTTAATATTATTACCTGCCGTAGCAGAAGAATGTTTGATATCCACCTGCCGCAGCAGAAGAATGTTTGATATTATTACCTGTCGCAGCAAAAGAATGTTTGACAATATTACCTGCTACAGCATTAAGGATGTACAATATTATTATCTGCCGCAACAGAAAAATGTTTGACATTATTACCCGCCTTAGCAGAAGAACGTTTAATATTATTACCTGCCGTAGCAGAAGAATGTTTGATATCCACCTGCCGCAGCAGAAGAATGTTTGATATTATTACCTGTCGCAGCAAAGAATGTTTGACATTATTACCCGCCTTAGCAGAAGAATGTTTGATATTATTTCCTGCCGCAGCAGAAGAATGTTTGACATTATTACCCGCCTTAGCAGAAGAACGTTTTATATTATTACCTGCCGTAGCAGAAACATGTTTGATGTTCACCTGCCGCAGCAGAAGAATGTTTGACACTATCACATGCAGCAGAAGAATGTTTGATATTATTACCTGCTGCAGCAAAAGAATGTTTGATATTATTACCTGCCGCAGCAAAATAACGTTTGACATTATTACCTGCAGCAGAAGCATGTTTGACGTAATTACCTCCACCTGCAAAAGTATGTTTGTAATCATTACCTGAATCAGTGGCAGCATGATGTCATCATAACCTGCAGAAGTATTAGCATTTTGGACGCGATTACCTGCTGCAGAAGCATCTTTAGCGGTATACCTTCAGCAGAAGCATTTTGGACGTCATTTCTCGCAACAATAGTAGCATGTTTGACGTTATCATCTGCAGCAGTAGTAGCATGTTTGTAATTATCACTTGCAGCAGTAGCAGCCACATGTTGTCATACCTGCAGCAGTATTATCATTTCAGACGTTACTGCTTGCTGCAAAAGCACGTTTGGCGTTATTACCTACATTAGAAGGGTAATTTGTTTGACGTTATAACTTGCAGCAGTAGTAGCATGTTTGGCGTTATTATCTGCAGCAGTAGTTTCATATTTGACTTTATTATCTTCAGCAGTAGTCGCATGTTTGTCGTCATTACCTGCAGCAGTGGTAGCATGTATGTCGTAGTACGTTTACCAAGAGTAGCAGAAGAATGCGTGTCGTCATTATCTGCACCAGTATTTGACGGTGATCGTATCATAATGGTTTGGGAATTCAAATGAGTTATCTAACAGATATCTAACAGGAATACCGAGTTCCTACCAATATATCTAACACCATGAATAGTACTAAGCATTTGCCTTTATTATATTCAGTTATAAAATACAATTTCAATAACCCCAAAAGTCTTTTGAAGAAGCAATGTAATCACCAATAAGTCGTTTCTGGAAAATCAGGAACACAAGATACTATCACAAGATGTATTTTTATGCGTATTTAAGTTTCCGCATACTTTGCTAATAATGTCCTGCGGAATCAAAATAAATACTGAATATGTCACATAATACAGTATAAAACATACATTATTTGCATTAGAAAGGCAGTGTTGTGACTTTAGACTCCCACTTTCCTTTTGCTAGTAATGCAAAACAAAGCACCGTGCACGTTACGGGTATCGCAACAGTAATCAAGGTGGCGTAACAGAGACTGTTTGGAGAGAATTATAATAATTGTAAATAACTGCAAATACCTAATGTTAAACGCTTGAGATAATCCATTTGAATTTAGTCACGATGAATGCCATTACATATATGTAAGCATCGCATCTACTTTTCTGATGGTCAAAGGTACATTTGAACATACTTCATTCTGCAGATGAAAGATAATGGAAAATACTCATAACTTCACATCTATTTGAGACACCCACAAAATCTTGATAAGGTCTATCGGACCATGTATATTTGAAGTTAAACACTATATTGGGCTAAGGAGAGGGAACAGAAGGAATGCTGGGTCGCACATTGTATGAAGGGTGAGAGTAAACGTGTGCACATGACCAGCGCGACCAGACGTTCAACAAGGGAAATGGAAATCTATCAATGGGAAAGGAATATTATTCCATGAGAAATTGAGATGACTTCCTCACGATCGCATTTGATAAACATTATCAATAACTCTTTATTAAAATTTGAATCAATTCAAATTATTTCTACCAAGTAAGCAGCTGTTGCTCAGTGTATATACAGCAAGATATGTGTGAGGTTTGCTTGGAATATTCACAGATTATATATGGTAAATTATATATGGTACATGCTGATGATCGATGTTTGGCATTATTTCAAGATGGTAAAGAAGTAGAGTGAAACTTCGCTTACTCGAATACCATGGACAGTTGAAATATAACGAGTTATCCGTATTTCGAGACAAGCGGAGAGATTTGACATTGTGCTGATGGTGATTCAGCCAGATTAGGTTAACATTTAATGAGTGAAAAGACTTCGAGGTAAATATGTTTCGCTGTTGGAAGTGTTGCTAGTATATAGCCATCAGTTGTCTTCGATCGGATGGCATGCCTGTATGCAGTTTTCTGCCTGGAAAGACGCTGTGTGGATATTGCCTGTGGGATGAGACACCTTGATGAACGTAGACACACGATAATGTATTGGCATGACGCTGGCGGGGATGGAGACAGTGAAGTACATGTTAATGTGATTTTGCATAATGTTGCTACTACCACACAGCTGTAGCAAGTTTTACAACATTGGTAATAGCAGGCATGTCCAGTTTACAGTGTGTCCTCAATTGACGATAAACGACAAATCTGATGCCATTGGAAATATTACAATATCACATTGTGCTATATCTCAAATACAACCCCCAGGAAGCTTTTGACAGGTGTTATTCATAAAACCAAATCACAATCAGGTTGTCTTATCTCTCAAATAAACACACCTCCCAGTACGATTGCGACAAGTCCGATGGCATTGACCACGACGTAGAAGATAAAGAACAATCTGTCCACCACACATGCGATGACTCTCCACTCGCGCACATTGCTATCCGTTGAGTCCTGTATTTTCCTCTCGTCCCGCGTTTTGTCCATGTGTTCACGTATCCCACTGACTTGCTCCAATATCGGGCACGGTTGTCGCGCCATCTGGCGGGCGGGAGACGCCCCAAGCGATGACCCATCTCCACCGTAGATGTCTGAGCGGGAGTCGCCCCCTGTGTCCAGAAGGTTCACTCGAGCAAAGGCTAGCTCCGGGTCCGACTGGTCTGTCTGATTATCCACAAACGATGACCAGGTCTTTTTGGGTGTTGTGCAATCCCGGGGAGACTCTTGGAAAGTGTGGCGGACGTTCATCATCCGCGCCACGCCGTCGATTATAAACTGAAACAGCGAGTGGAAAGGTATCAAAAAAGGAAAACATGAGGCATAACAATGACAACATGGACTGATGGGGAACACTGTCTGAAGGCAAGAAAGACAGACACTTCCGGTTCTATTTTGTCATCACTTCGCCAACCAAAAGAAGTTAAAAGATGGTGCTTACCGTTACCCTGCTCTGAAGGTTGGCATAAAGGCGATAATTTAAGGCCTGGGCCCACTTGCACAAAGCAATCTTAGAGCTAAGACTATCGTAAGCCAATGTTAAATTATGGGAGTTACGACCATCTTAGCGCTAAGATCGCTTTGTGCATGTGGGCCCTTGTCAGTGCATACTCTCAAGAAAGGGGATCATGAATTATAAAGGTTATGATCGGTCGTCAGAAGAAAGTTACACTTTGAAAACGAATCTCTTTACTCTTGCGTTAACATAGTATTTGTGATCGGATTAGAAACGGCTAAAGGCTATTGTCATGTTTTAAACTGTGTGTTGAATGTGGCTAAGTCTTTGATTTGCAGACTTTGGAACAGGTTTCTGCACACACACACACTGTTAATGATCGGCCCCGCACAGTGCGTTCTAGATCAACAACACAAGTCCGGGATCGATTAATCAAAAACCAGAAATTGGGCCCAAACAGCCAATCAAATAGCTGTTCACTTGCGCCAGGCCGCCGAAGTTTGCGCCGGAGGATGCAGCTAATCTGAATACTTGTCGACCACGTGTTGTACCGCTGTTAACAAACCGACACATTTTAGCCTGATGCCAATAGTGTTTAGGACGTAAAAACTGGGATACTGACAGGTGGGCTCGTAATGTTTTCAGATGAAAGCGCGGATGTTAGAGCGTCCTACCGGAGATCGGAAGGTCCGGGGTTCGATCCCCGGCCGCGTCATACCAAAAGACGTTGAAAAGATGGTACTTGTTGTTACCCTGTATGGCGCTCGGCTTTAAGGGGCTAAAACAAGGACTGGTCAGCTCGGAGTCAGTATACTGTGTCTGAGTGGGATAGTCATGTTAAACTGGGGCATGTTATCTCAGTGGGCTAGCACTATAGACCGGCATTAGTCTGAACTAGTACAACCAGACACACAGACACACAGACACACACACACACATACACACACACACACATATGGGTGCCATACTCTTGGACGCGACGTTAAACCTCATATCAACCCACCTCACCCATGGATGGGCGTGGACATGTGTGGAGGCGTCCTCACAAACGTCATGCGAACGTTAACATAAGGCAAATATCAGATTAGGTGGTGGATCTGTAATGATATAGGCGGGATCACAATGACTGCAAAAACGCCACTGCATATTGTCAGTGGAAAGATCACTGGACAGTTCTATCGAGACAACATAATGGTTCAAATAGCTGCCCCTTGCATGCTGGTCCACGTTTTGTCTTTCAAGTGCACTTCCAGTAACTGACTCCCCCAGAAGCAAAACATCACCAGAATGCAATGGCCAGCCATGAGTCCTGACCTTTCCCTCATAGAGGACGTCTGGGACATGATCGGGAAACGTGTGTGCCGACGTCAATGATCGAAATGAATGGCGCTGAAAGCGGAGTGGACAAGACTCCCTCAAGCTGTCATTGGTAGACTGATTCCGACCATGCCACGCCGTAAAAACGACTGTTTGACCACTCGTGGGGGCATGACCCATTATTGATCAAGCCATCTCAAACGTTCTACACGCCCGTCGTTTTTCTTGCTTGTTTACACACTTACAAAACACGTTTGCTTGATTGTCATGTTACACCTAGTCCTTCCTATTTCGCACCCATCCATTACCATCACTCGACAGCTCTTAGTATTAATGTAATCGAACCAGGTTATTTTTAAAATCATCTATACATTTGGTGGAGAGTATATTGGTGAAATGCGAAGTTGAACCCCATTTCACCGCAACATCTCTCCAACACCATAGGGTGGGTGGTATCAATGGGATCTCTTACTAAAGACATTTAACGAAATAAAAAAATGTTACTTCTCTGACCCTTTTCACCTACCTTGATATTTGTTCCTTCATTGAATAAGTAAACTCATTTGGTTGAAGGAAAAAAAGAGCATTTTCAAAGGTTGAAGTTTAATCACATTTTGACGAAAACCAACTAATTAAATAAAATATGCATGTGTCCATAAGTAGGACGTGAGTGATCTTACTGAATGAAGGCGATGTTCGGACACCTTAGTGTTTGCTTTTCGCGCCAACCGTAACTGTTCGATTCCCAAAACGGTGTCATCTGTGATGTCTACAGCCGTAATAATGCAGGACCGATGCAAAAATCGGAGCAACATCTTAATCACTCACTCACCGAACGAAGCCACCGAGGAGCCCTATTGATCCGCACCCCTCGGAAAAACATGTTGGCGATGACGCAGGCCAGCACCGTCGACAACGTGATCATCACCATACTCAGACAGAAGTAGGCTCCTGTAAAACATAAGGCAATAATGATGATCCCCTGTAGGAATGTGAACTATCTTCCGATGGCAATGTATCGATGACATGCTTTGCAACAGTTAATATCGATGACCCTATTATATATCGATAGAATCGATAGACATGATAAAATGAAAAGCATAATGTTAAGCATTTACTTTTATGTATTAGTTTTCATCCCCAATGCATCTGTTTCGAAGAAATATGTGGGCATCTATTCAGACAATAATACATCCTTAACATCTTCTAGAGCAATCTCCCGATTCAAGGACTTGGGATATATTCATGTGATAGACGTTGGCATGGCGTTGAATACTGCCGAATAATTTTTTTTTCTGTTTTGATTTTAAAAGTGTAATTATATGCTCTACGTACACGTTGTACCGCCAATGGTGTTTCTGAAGGGCAAATGTGACCCACCAGGAACAAAAGGGCCTTATGGGAGCGAGGAAACAATTGTGCTGTGACCTCAAAGAGAGGAACGTTTGACGTAAAAAAAGGCCATGTGTGCGAACTGTACAAAAATATCTTACTTTGCTCTCGTTAAAAAATGTAATAAAAACCTTATATATTAAAACATGTCTGCGTGCATTTAATCAGACATTATTTCTAAAATCTGCAATTATTACATAATAAGTCTGAAAATGAGACTGATGTCCAAATGTTTGATGCCATGATTGTAATGAATATTAATTGAAGCTTGTGAATTGTATTTTTGTGTTCATAAGACACTGTAGTTTCAAAATATAATGAGGAGTCAAAATGAAAAAAATGTTTAACTCATAAGGCCCTTTATGGTTGGTCACATAGATTGTTTCTGTTCGGAAATCTCCAGTGTTGGATACAAAGTAACCTATCGCAATAATAATGCAATAGTTATGATTCAGTCGTATCGCAATATTTATTTAAACATCAAAACGATTGCAATAGCAAAATGAAACTTCGATAAGATACGAACAAGGTAAATTACAGGATTATATCTAATGACGGTGGACACCATCAAAATAAGCGTCACAAGAAACAATGCATGGTGAAATGTATACATCATTTGGTTAAGACAAATAACTCACAGTGACTTCTGAAATACATTTAAATAGAATGAAAGGCTAAACAACAAAATGCGGCCATTAATTCTATTTTCGATAAGGTAAAATGACGACATATAAATGGCGTTCAGCCAAACATTCTCAAAACCCCAAGTAGTTTCCATTTGTTTCCTCGTAAAGTCGCATACATGTAACATCATTACGTCTCATTCACTTACAGCATGCCTCCTCATAAAATTTAATCCTAATTTGATAAATTGTGGTAATTTTCTATGTCTCTGAAATTAGCTATCGCTGGAAGGGACATAACTGGTCACTCGTGGCCGCATTTCACCCTCAAAGTTGAAACCCCTTACCTAATCGTGCTAGAATCTGATATCATTAGTTGGAATACCCGATTAACCCCGATTATTATCCTTGACTTGGTTCACCGACGTGATGAACGGCGAACTCTTACGTTACTGTTTGCATCGCTCTAATCTGACGTAATGGGATACAACAGAAATACTGTTCATACTAAACGTCAACACCAGAGAGTATTCAGCCTGTATTATCTGCCGATACAGATTCCATTTGGCGTAAGAGGCAAAATAGCGGCGAATTATGCCAAAGGATCAGTGAAAATCAGTAATGAGGTGTTCGCGGAAAGGGTAAGCATAACTTGTCCATTCCCTATCGGTAGCACTTGCCACTCACATAATTTGTATAAAAACTGTTTATTGTTGCCTGATGTCGTTGCCATAAGACGGCGGCCTGTAAACAATTGAATCTTGACCACATAATTGAAGTGATAGACAGATAATCCCAAAACTCACTCCCTCCCATGACTTTTTAAAGAAAAACAGAGACACCTCTTTTTGTCCTTCGTTTACGAAAATCCCAGAAATACTTGTAGATGTTGATGTACACTTACGTTTGGGAATTATTTCTTTTTGACATTTTTATAATATGATAAATTCTCAACATTTTAATTCTTTTCGAAAGAATATTGCTTGTGTAATAAAGGTTTTCCCATGATTCGTAAACCTAATATATAATGCGAAATCATAAGAAATGTCACCTCAATTTGAATCAATGGCATGTCGGAATTCATGTGAGCATTTTGACGATAAAATCAAGCCCAAACCCACTAAAGCAATTGGGTTAGCGTTCAGCTGTATATTTATTGCAGTTCACAGTATTTCAAATTGATACATGTCATTTGTTTAGCTGTAATTTCAATCCACAGACGTCATTGTAGCATGTGTAATGGAATCAGCGTGTTTACTTTACACAAGTAAAGCGCATTACACGTGTCAATATAGACGCGTGGGGGATTTAGTATTTTCCCAATAATCGTAAAGTTATGTTTATACAGTATGATTTATCTCCCTTGGATGAGCTTCCTCTTGAATGGAGAGTGTAGCAAAACGCCATTAAATCTAAGAAACGCTGTTGTCTTTAAGCGCTAACTTTCTGCTGGAGAGTTTTATTTACCAATTATTGTGTAGTACGATTTATTATTTATTTCCGTATTTTGTTTCTTAGCACATACCTTCATTCCAAATATGGCAGGTTAATTAACCAGATTTTGAAGATATTTCATGTAGACCTTTTGAAGTAACTGCTGTAAAGTAATAGAATGTACTTCCGATTGCCATTAGAACAGCCCAGTCACTTGGTATTTTCAGTCAAGACTAACACGTTTTAATTCGACAGCCCAGCTTCTTTACTGTAATGTACACATGGATATGTGTTGTCAGTTGTGTGGAAGTTGGCGCATTATAATTTATTTATTTATTTATTTATTTATTTTTTATTTTTTTATTTTTTTATTTTTTTATTTTTTTTATATATTTATTTATTTATTTATTTACTCGCGTATTGTAATGCTTGATTTGAATGAGTTAACATCCATTGGATTAATGATGCCTTGGTGATTATTAAGAACTTTCGTGATTATGAAAATCTGTATATTTAAGAACAGAGTATTTTCTGTTTTAAATCCCTGCTCATACGTCCGGATCTAAAGCCTGGCAAATGTCTCTGAAACCAAAGTATCTGCAGTATTGATTTGGCCTGTTTTGTAGATATATGTGCTATATATAGTTTCTGACGTACATTCATACAACACAACAATGTGTTATTTAGCCAAGAAAGATGTTATTATTAGTTTGTACTATTGTATCCTCGAGCCCATAGTCAGAGGCTATTCATCCTCGATGAAGACAAAGAGCATGCTCTTTTCCTGTTTTCACATCCCATGACACGTGTATTATCCAAAATTAGTATAACCCTCGCTGGTCTGTCTGAGCCACCGTCTGAAGCTTATTTGGCACTTTAAATCTACTGACACAAACACTGGCTGGTATCTTGTCAACGTTGACCGTCAACTGAAACCAATACATTCTGATATCTCGACAACATCGCCTTCTGTTGACATCACCACTTCCACTGTGTTACATTTGGTATTTTCTGAACGAATCACGTGATCTCACAGGGGAGATAGTCTAATCAAATTAAGCGTTCTACAGGTCGAAACATATGGTTTTTGCTCTCTTTTCGGGTCGGGTCTTTCAATTACTAATACATGTTCATCAGGATATAGCTTCATCATCGCAGGCTGCACGTACACTCTGACGCCATTGTCTTGGGTCTGTTCAGGAATGAAATCGTACAATTATGCTGGATATTACTGAGTTATATAATGACAACTGATTACGGACATCGGTATGGAACTATTTGCTTATGAAACACTCGTTAGAATTGAATCAAGAGCTTTGAATATGATTTCCTTTCAATAATTAAGAGACATTATTCGCGCAAAAAAAGAACCGGAACTCGATAACTTTGTAATAACCATGTACAATTACTTTATTCGCGGATAGCCAATGAGGGGTTTGTGCTTATAGTGAAGTAACACTGACTTCATTATAGATTCAATTTGAAATTAGTTATGACTATTTTATAGATGGATGTGGCGAATGTAATTCCAGCAATTGTCTAACTTAATTCCTTCTCCGTCTCTGCCATGCTATATGATCAATATGGAAATACACAGCGTGTGAGGAGATCCCCGGGGGACTGCTGCAGCACGCGCCTCATACCACTCCCGTTGGTTCGGCGCTGTCGTTTTATTTCTTGTCTTTCACTGGTCAGGTCAGATTAGTTATCTGTGTTAGTTTCTCACCCGGGCGAAGTACGTGCCTGAGCTGCCTCCAATTTACATACAAGATATACTCTCAAATCCGCTGTCCATCATTAACACCAATCTCAGGAGGCATAATTCTTGTCCCACATACGCCGCGATACACATAACACACGATCATCTGGACAAAACACAGCCGTGTCTTCACACAACACACGATCACATAGACCCAACACAGCCATGTCTTCACACAACACGCGCTCACATAGACCCAACACAGCCGTGTCTTCACACAACAGGCGCTCATCTTGACAAAACACAGCCGTGTGTTCACACAACACACGCCTGTCTGGATACAACACAGATTTATCTTCACACAACACACGCTCCTCTAGACACAATCCAGACTTATCTTCACCCAACACACGCTCATCTAGACACAACACAGCCATGTCTTCACACAACACGCGCTCATCTTGACAAAACACAGCCGTGTGTTCACACAACACACGCATACCTGGATACAACACAGTCTTATCTTCACCCAACACACGCTCATCTAGACACAACACAGCCATGTCATCACACACCATACGCTCATCTAGATAAAACACAGCCTTATCTTCACACAACACACGCCTATCTGGATACAACACAGCTTTATCTTCACACAACACACGCCTATCTAGACACAACACAGTCTTATCTTCACACAACACACGCTCATCTAGACACAACACAGCCCTGTCATCACACAACACACGATCATCTAGACACAACACAACCATGTCATCACACACCACACGCTCATCTAGATAAAACATAGCCTTATCTTCACACAACACACGCTCATCTAGACACAACACAGCATGACCTGGACACGCTGGAATATTCAAAACACACTTAGGTTCACACAACTCTTATCTGCGACACACACACACACACACACACACACACACACACACACACACACACACACACACACACACACACACACACACACACACACACACACACACACACACACACACACACACACACACACACACACTGCACCACGGTGAAACCACGCCGAGTCACACACACACATGCCGATCTCAACACATCACACACGGTGACTATACACACCCTCATACAACACCCATATCGGGATGTAGGAACCATACATATTTGGTAACACCTCGAAGATTAAAATGAAAAGTCATATCACAAACACAGTGTCAACTATCATTATGTCGTACTGAATACACCGATACCTCTTGAAGAATGTGTAAAGGTGATATGTTTCAGGTGACGAAAGATATATGCTACAAAGTTTATCCAGATCATGCAAATATTCTCGGTAATTAAGCAAGACAGGAGAATAGGGTATTATTTCATATTTTCATGTGCTTGCTTAAATGTATCCTTATAAATATTTGAACTGGCGTGCACGTTCCACACCACGATACAATATATCAACATTCTTGAATTTATGTAGAACGAAAGAAGCAACGAATTCGAACAAAGTCCTGATAGCATGTTGTCAGATGGGTTTTTCATGTTTGAAATAATAAAGAAATAGTCCTGCTTTCGTGTATATGAATCATATACACATTTTGTCAGGGTAATCGTTGATTCAAGCAGAGTACTAGTGTATGAAAAGCTATGCATACATTTACAATGTTGAAAGACCAGTAGGGAATACAATACTTTAGGCAATACCATACTTCAGGAAATACAATACTTTGACAAACAATTCGTCAACTGGATTTATTTCCACGAGAATACCAAATCATTTTGGAGACAAAGACGCTGAATACAATATTAAACTCATACACGATTACAAATCATAAAAGACTGAATGACTTTTGCAATTGATACTACCCCATATAACCTGTCCGAACTGTAAATCGTTCTGGAGACATAGGAATTCAATATAATTTGAAACTCGTGCAAGATCACAAATCACAAAGACCGAATGGCTTTTGCAAATAACACGACCCCTGATAACCTGTCAGGCAGATTCTAGGCTATTGTGAACGACAATTCCCAACCAGATAATGACAACGAAGAGTATTACGGTGCTGGATGAGATAGTTTAGATGCGAGGGTTGTAAACCATCTACGTTCTATTAACCTGAATATGATTTCTCAGTGGAAATGTTGTAGTGGTTTGTAAATTATTTCAATGCTGTATTTGATAGTGATGTATACTTGCATACACATACTCGTTCATCATCACGCCGTACTTAAAAATATTAGCACCATAAGGTTCTGAAGCTTGTTTACGTTACATTTTATAGATCATAATAAGAGGAATAACAAGAATATGTACATAGGGTTTCATGGACAATGGGCAAGAATGACATTTGGCGGCCTTGCCTGAGATCAGATCGGTGTTCTGCGACAAGAGTTAGACAGCTGTGATCGTCCGTGCAAAGTTTTAGATTGACATGCGTTTCCTTTGTAGTTGTTAAAGCATAATTGATAAATTCTTCTGAACTCGGGAACTTCATTCCACCAACCTAAACATCGACCCAGTTCCAGTAAATATAAAACGTAAACGCAAGAGCAAAATCAGTCGACAGATTCACTGGCCATATATGGCAAAATAGTGGTGAAAATAATATGAATGGATCACTGAAAATCAGTTTTGACACGCGGTGTTCGCGAAGGCCGGTTCTGTTGTCCTTCCTGTTCAACGTGTTCTTGGAGTTAAAATTCATCCACACATTTAGAATAATTTATGTTACTCTTTGCTAATGTCTGCTGCAGTTTTAATTACATAAGATATAACACAATGCAGAACCAATTGGACATTATGTAAATATAGAATGATGAGAGGAGGTTTTACACCGAATGAAGACCGAAATAGTTGTTGCATATACAACATGAGAGGGTGGCGTAACTGTCAAATAAAATCATCAGTGAATATAGCTAGTTTCAAGATTATTTGTATCAAACAATGACTTAACTGAAACTGCAGTTTATGTGTGGGAGCTCTGAAAACTCCTTTGTCATATTTTCATAAAATATCAGGTTTTCGTACCAAGTTTATTTTTTTATTAATTGAATGTCTGAAAACATTTGTAATGTTCTTAATTTGGGGAGTCCTTCTCCAGATGACATTGTTTAAGGCGAAGGTTCCTGTTAATACGTTGTTTATAACATAAAATACGTACGCATGTAGAAAAAAAATGTATCCAATATCAAATTTAGTTGTACATTTTATGATGTCCGATCAACCATGACAATCGGATGTGTAATCGTTTAGATGGATATACCACACGGGCGTCCATTATGCGACACACTCCTTTTCCCAAATATATTGGATATGAATTGATTTGTTTAAGTGAGGGTAACGAAGCAGAAACGTTATGTTCCTTTCGAGAAAGATAAACGAGTGTGGACATCAATATTGTACTCACGTCTTGGACATGATGCACAGAGAACTAAACACATTGCTTCAGACCCGGAATAGAGAGAGAATGTGTTCCCCTCTATTTCAGCTATATACGGTGGCTTGTGAACAAACTGGGTCGGGTGTACCAGTGGTTGACTTCATGACTACCGATTAACGTTGACGTTAGAAATCCTTTGTGTATCGATGTAACTTAAAGGTAAAGTTCTTTGTCAACATTTGCTTCATTGTGAACTCTTGTTTAATGAAATGTGAGGCAGGATTATGCTACATGCGCTGCTAGTTCACGTTTTCATAGACTTTTTGCAGAATATACTACTGCTGGATTGAAAACAGATTCGTCTTTTTTCAAGACATGTAGACCGCCTCCGTTGTCTAGCGACGAGAGCGTCTGCCCGGGGAACGAAAGGTCGAGGGTTCGCTACCCTGGCCGCGTCATACTAAATGACGTTAAACTGTGATACTTGTTATCCTGTATGGCGCTTATACCGGTATTTGTCCTGACTAGTACAAGCAGCAACGCGCGCGCACACACGCACGCACGCACGCACGCACGCACACACACACACACGCACGCACACACGACACACACACACACGTTAAACCCAATTTCACCTCACCAAACTTCAAGACAAGTATCGATGCAAAGGAATATATCAACTTTTACTTATCTAAGATTGTATTTCACAATTAATGACAAAGCAAGGCTGGCAAAGTCTTATTGATAGAAGTAATTATTGTGTTGTGTTCTCCGAATTATGAATAATGTATAACGGTGAACCCAAGGGAGTTGTTCCGGCAGACGTCTCCAGAGAAAGTACACTGTAGATTGGTCCAAATATCAGGGAGTAAAAGGACTCCTTGTAATATAGTATGTAAGGACTAGGCATTATGTGTTTATATCTCTGTTGTCTGCTTTCATCCTGCAAGATATCGTTCATCTACACCCAACACTTGCTGGCCTACACACATATTTACACAAAACACACAAGATTACACACAACATAAACATATCCACACACAAAAATAAAAAGCGACAAAACCCTTTCCATATTCATAAGAAATCTCTCCTTAATGCAGAGTACATTGTACGACCATATGTGTTTATGAAACACGATAAAAAAGCAAACAGAAGAACGTATCTTGTCCCACCGGTGGCACCCGTGACAAACACATGCAAAGGCAAGTCAAGTATTCACCTTAACTAACACGGGAACATTTTGTACAAATCAAAATAGGGAATCATTTAGTGACTGGTCGTCAAAATTAGAAATGTCCCTCCACACGTCTACCACAAATCGTAAGGAAAGTTGTTTTTTTTTTTAAATTATTAGATACTGAATAATGTGACACTGATTACAACGCAAGCGGCAAATACACATACAACAATACGCTCGCTCGCACGCACGCACGCATGCACGCACGCACGCACGCACGAACACACGGGAACTACATACACAATCGAACTCGCACTGTCTATATTCACATCACACTCTACAGACACTACGCATTAACCTTCGTCACCCTCATGTACATACGGACACAGCACTCGCTTATCTTCGCACAAGAGTCTGCAGTCTTTGTCTATACACATCAATACCTAGCTCATCGTCACCCACACTCTCTCGTTCATCGATCACCATGGAGTTTCCACAAGCTTTCTTCCTTATAATGTGCTGAATTAACGAAGAATAATTATTCATTTCATATTTAGATATGAATTATGACTAATTAAACAGTGAGGATTTGCAAGACTAAACAAACACTGTATGACGCTAGCTTCAGTCACAGTCATCCGCCCATGTCTACAATAAGGTCCCCACCCCTGGGGAAACACGCAGCTCAGGATAAAAGGAGTAGTTTTAGGTGTTCGTCTCTCGTGACCACAGTACTTAATGAATATAAACGTGTCCAAGCAACTACACAAAGCACCCCCATTAACAATGCATTGAGTTAAACCGCACTCTGCCTTGCTGTCAGAGGAAGGGCCTATTAATTTACCATGTTGCTTCGGGAATCTTCACAAGGTGGGCGAATCACGAAAACCAGACGTCAATGACGAGCTTCTTTCCAGTTCGAAGATTTAATTAACATACGCACCTACATTTCGATATTTAATGTACATATTCTCTCATGTACCTATGATACAGGGTATCAGTGTAGATGGATTTGGAATAAACAACTCACCGCAAGGCATAAATAATAAGACATGTCTCCTTGGCCTGGCGCAAGGGAAACTGTCCATTGGCACCTAAAGTAAAAACCTTTCTCGTATCTATTTTGAGATCAGCAAATAGTGCTTTCTGGTCAGGCTGCGGACAAAGGACTTGCTCGGACGCTGTATCTGAGATACGTATGGGTGGTCCAGGTAGATTCAGTGTGGACGGACTCACCTATAAGCGGTATGGATGCTGCGGCTCGGGGGGTGTAGTCAGCTAGCAGAAGCAGCAGTACGAAGAACGCCAAGAAGATGTTCATTCCTGAAACAGGAACACAAGCTGAATCATACAATACATCACATTTACAATACATCACATATACAATACATCACATATACAATACATCACACATACAATGCATCATACATACAGTTCATTGTGAAAATACTGCATAAGTTATCTCATCAAGGATCATAATCGGTGTGAATTTGAGATTCGAACTCAGAACAGAGCCAAGGACACATGGTCACCCGTGCCCACATATACTGTGTTTTAGTGAGTGAGTGAGTTGGGTTTAACGCCGCTTTTAACATTATTCCAGTTATATCACGGCGTGTCAGCTTAATGTGGGAGGAAAGCCCGAAGTGATGCAGGTCTAAGACGTTTACCACTTCGGTGAAACCAACGAGCACGGGTATGGTGCTGACAAACCTAGAAACATAATTAGGGCGAACCGGGATTCGAACCCACCATCATAGGTTTCTGGCGTGTCCAAGGGTCGCAACTCTGCACAGCGAATCGCGGCGCCTTAGACGACTTGGCCACCCGTGCCCCCTACTGTGTTTTACCTAACTAGGGGCTATCTTATTGTATTACTCAGCTAAAGTCATGAATACTGTCACTCATAAGTCTTACGAACGGGTACATCATAACGCGAACAATAGAAACATTTAGAGAAGTATGTTTAGAAGAGATGTTTCAAATGTGTACCGATTAACGTCAAAACTAGCAATCAGTCAAGTGTTACCACAGAGTGTCTTCATTCTTATCACGATATGCTGCACATGATTGCCAAATTTTACACATAATCCTGCTTGAGACCAATGGTGCATCTGGAGTCATGGATCTATGACGTCACATGTGATGCGTTCATGAGCGTCGGTTAGCATAACAGTATGTTCGTTTGAATATCAAACCAATACTTTTTTGAATATGAGTAATTCTACACATATTAACCAACATGTGTGGTATTCGCGTTTCTTTTGTCGGTGAGTATATATAATGCACATATTACGCTTCAAAACAGACTGGTATCCAGTATTATTGGCAATATATATTGTGTATACACCGCATGGGTAGTCATCTCTGTTGATGATGAAGGCTGGTTAATTCATATGACCACTTCATGCGTGGTCTATCGAATAACATAGCACCATGGGGTGGTTATATGACGAGAAACATAATGGGAAAATGTAAATGTTAGTGCACAGTGGAAATCGAAATTGAATATTTCAAAACCAATCTCAGCGTCTCTACCGACTGAACTCCAGCAATGTTGTTGAAGTATCCTATTATGTACAGTTTAAGTGATACCTTGTACATGTAAAATAATATGACATATTCCTATTGCAACAACAGACCCGTGAAGATCCGGGGTAGAATAGGTCTTCAGCAACCCATGCTTGCCGTAAAAGGCGAATATGCTTGTCGTAAGAGGCGACTAAAGGGATTGGGTGGTCAGGCTCGCTGACTTGGTTGATGCATGTCATCGATCCCAATTGCGTGGGTTGATGCTCATGATATTAATCATTGGATTGTCTGGTCCCGACTCGATTATTTATAGACCGCAGTCATATAGCTGGAATTATGCTGAGTGCGGCGTTTAACAACAAACCAACCAACTATTGCAACAACAACCTATTTCATTCCAGGCCCTTGTTCGGTTGTACAGGTTTGAAGTTTTTGAACACAAATTCCACACGGTATATGTATATACCTGCTTTGAACTTGTACTTTCGCTTTATACACTCTTGGCAACAAAACATGTTCCGCCCGGAGAGCGGAAGGTCCGGGGTTCGATCATACCAAAAGACACTAAAAAATGGTACTTGTTGTAACCCTGCCTGGTGCCCGGCATTAAGGGGCTAAAACAAGGCCTGGTCGGCTAGGAGTCAGTATACTGTGTCTGAGTGGGGTATTCATGTTAAACTGCGGTATGGTATCTCAGTGGGCTAGCACTATAAAATCGTCATCAGTCAAGAATAGCACAAACAATAAGTGCAATAGTGCAACAATCTTGTACGCAACTTTAAACACCACTTCACCTCACCACCGTTAAACATGTATTGAATGAATAAATAGTGCGTCTTTTTGGAGGTTTTACTCCTTGTACACATTGTAATTCAAAAGTAAATACAGTTTCCCATTCCCCTAACTTATGTTTCCATTTACATCTATCAGTATATCGCGCAAACGCAGCCGTCTGCTGGCTCTGCAATGGACAAGGTAGCTCGTGCACGTGTTATAGAATACGAAGTGGGCAATTTGACTTCCGCTTGTGTATTGATGCAACTGATGAATGTTGATCCTTGTCATCGGAGATATTCATTAAATGTCAAGGTGAATTTTTATAACTAAACAGGGATATAAGCCTTGACTTCTTGATACGACACAAGAAAGCAGCAAGACAGCGCCTCGCATATTTCCTTGTACCATACTTCAGAGACATAATTCCCTTTGTTTGTATTCAAAAACATCGCATTGTGCATGTTTTCGCAATGTCAATACTTATAGATTACACATCAATCGCTATATTATACAAATGCATGGATCGTGTGGTGTTATGATGCATAGAAATTAATGACTTATAGCTCTGTGGCAGCGGTATGGCTTCCGTGCTGCGCTCGAGGGCTATGAAGACTACCTCATCGATCAGCGATCAATATTTACTAAATATCATTTTGCGTCTAACATACTGGTATACACCGCTGTAGGAAATATACTAGTATATTGTTTGCATCACAAGAGGCCGAAATCGTTTGATGAAAGCCTTCCTTGGTTTCATTTTTCAACGTAGGCTGCTTTCCAAATCGATGGCAGATATATTAAAACATCTCAACATTTCACTTAAAGCATGGCCTAATACTCTGTGTTTGTTTGTTGTTAACGCCGCACTCAGCAATAACTAAACTATAAGACGAAGGAAGGCTTGTAAATAATATAGGCTCGCCCAGACAATCCAGTGATTGATATTGCGAGCAAAGATCCACGCCATCGGGGTACGATGAAATGCCAAAAGCAAAATCATCGAGTCTGACCATCCGATCCATTTGGTGGCCTCTTACTGGGGTCAGTTCTAACGCGGATATCCCAAGGGGATATGTTCTCTATGTTGCAGTTGTGAAGGTGGTGAACATGATGGCGGAATTTGGAAGATTTCGCCCTCGTAGATTTGATACTTGATACCATTGTACAACGCCTGTCAGTACAACGCCTGTCAGTACAACGCCTGTCAGTACAACGGCTGTCGGTACAACGCCTGTCAGTACAACGGCTGTCTGTACAACGCCTCTCTGTACAACGGCTGTCAGTACAACGCCTGTCAGTACAACGGCTGTCTGTACAACGCCTGTCAGTACAACGGCTGTCTGTACAACGCCTGTCAGTTCAACGTCTATCTGTACAACGCCTGTCAGTACAACGTCTATCTGTACAACGTCTATCTGTACAACTGTTTGTACAACGAACGTCTGTACTACACTTGTATATGTGTTGGGTGTCAAATGATGCCAGAAAAAAAGAAAACACCCTTTGACCTAACGAAAATGTGTTCTTTCTGGATTGGGGATAACGGTTTGGCTACGCTCCACTATTTGTGCAAAGATAAAATACACCTATATATTAATGTCCCTCATAATAGTACGATTCACGATGGGCAGGCTATCACCAATTTGTATCATCGTGGCTCTCTACATTCATACATGCAAACAACGTCATCACCATGCGATCTGGACTGAACCAGTCAGTTGTATTAATGTTATCGAGAAAGGAATTCAGCCGCATCACAGAGGAGTCACTTGGGGCAGGATTCCATAAGCCAGCACCTTCTGAGTCCGTATGACTGCTTCACAAAAACAGCACATAAAGCAATTCGTTAACATCTATTTCTATGAACTGACGAAATTATGAATTATTGTTTTTTTGTAATGCGTTTGTCCAGGTACCGAAGTAGTCTTCACATTAACACAACAATACTTCTATACCATTGCACATTGCACAGCGGTGACAAAGCTTAGTCGATGATCATAATGACTGAATATAGATCAACTGACGGTAGAACACTAGTCGGTAGCAATCGTTTTCCCTTCTGCACGACAGAAATAGAATGATATATTATCCGAGCCGTGATAAAAATAATATAACCCAAATTTGGACAAATAAACCAGTATGCACGATACAGGATAATTGATTGATTGTAGATGTCGACGTTATTCCAGTTATCGGAAGTGCGCATCCACGGGCAACACCAATAAATGAGCAAAGTCTCTCTGTAGCATATTGCGTATTGGGATGCTACAGTGTCATCTCCATGGCCTGTTGTACGGAACTAATATCTTTCACTTTGCCTGTATTCTACCGCCAGGCCGGTTATTATTCAGCCATCGATTGCTATCTATACACGGGGACATCAACCGAATAAGTTTACAACTTGGTACTTAAATTTGATAGCTACGTATTTGATATCCTTCACTGGTGTTTTGCTATTTCGTGGATAGTTCTTTATCAACGCCATACATTAAACATCAGCAAAACATTTCCAAGTGGGATAGGGAAAGGTCAGGTTACTCAGGATTCCGTATACAGAATCATAAACATTCACATAGATCCCGATCAGCGGGACAAGGCCCTGGCAAAATGGCAGCTTTGGAATGTTGGGTTAGCTTCTTTTAAAACAACCCTTTTCTTCTGTTCACGGACCTTTAATGATGATGAAAATCGAGAATTTAAAAAAAACACTAATTATACAGAGGCTTTCGGATTAATTTAATTACAGACTGGAAATGGGCCTCAGACTCTTGAGATTCGTGTTTCTTTATGAGTAATGATGTAAACCAATTCACATACTCCAGGATTAAGTATAACAAGAAATGGCCATTCACTGAACTCGAGATGAAGTACAATCACGTACAACCAATTGCAAACACTATTTAGTATTATAAGGACAAGCCAAACAAATAGCATCGTATGATGCCCAATGATCGATATCCTATCACATAGCCCGGGGTTAACTAAAAGTCTGCGGTATGTAGCCACTCTATAGTTCATGGCAGGGTATAAGGAGGTACAGACATTCACAGATCTCATGGCAGGGTATAAGGAGGTACAGACATTCACAGATCTCATGGCAGGGTATAAGGAGGTACAGACATTCACATATCTCATGGCAGAGTATAAGGAGGTACAGACATTCACATACATCATTGCAGGGTATAAGGAGGTACAGACATTCACAGATCTCATGGCAGGGTATAAGGAGGTACAGACAGTCACATATCTTATGGCAGGGTATAAGGAGGTACAGACATTTACATACCTCATGGCAGAGTATAAGGAGGTACAGACATTCACATATTTCATGGCAGAGTATAAGGAGGTACAGACATTCACATACCTCATGGCAGAGTATAAGGAGGTACAGACATTCACAGATCTCATGGCAGGGTATAAGGAGGTACAGACAGTCACATATCTCATGGCAGGGTATAAGGAGGTACAGACATTCACATACCTCATGGCAGAGTATAAGGAGGTACATACATTCACATATCTCATGGCAGAGTATAAGGAGGTACAGACATTCACATATCTCATGGCAGGGTATAAGGGGGTTCAGACATTCACATATCACAGAATGTATGATGAATTACTAATCAAAGGCCTCTGCTGATCTTGGTCAATAAGTTGTAAACCAGACCATGTGTGAAATTGAGACATTGCCCATGTGCAGTGAGGGCTATCACAAACTGCCAGATTGATCTGCAACATAAGATTAAGCAGACAGACAAAGTGAGTGTTGAATGACTTAAATCAAACGTGCTGCGACTTCGAGCTGCCAATGGTCTAGGCCCCTTTAAGTGTAGGGAACTATAACTATTCCTATAGTTAAAGATAAACGTAAGAAACCGTGGCCATTCCTACAGTTTAAGTTCAATGTAATAAGAATAAAGCTATCCCTTTAGTTGAAGTTAAGCGTTAGGAAGTATATGGTTATTCCAACAATATAAGTTAAGTGTAAGAAACTATCGCTATTTCTATAGTTAAAGTTCTGTGAAATGAACTATGAATGACTTTACTCAAACGTGCTGAGACTTCATAATATGGATTCTAGACCACTTCAAGTAAAGGGAACTGTAACTATGCTTATAGTTAACGTTAGGTGTGAGGAACTAGGGTGATTCCTGTATTTGATGTTAAGTGGTAGGGATGATAGCCACTCCTATGGCAGAGGTGCAATCATGCATGCTCTACCAACCAAAATTTCAATGAGCGTCTTGTTTGATCAAGGCTTGATCAAGGTTACAACATTCAAGGTGTCAGTACAGTTTTTAAAACAAATAGGGGTGGAATGCATTTGCAAAAGTGACTCCTCAGTGATATTAATGATGTACGATGCAATTCTGTGTTTTGCCTTGTCAAATATAGTCCCGTGTTGTTTCATGTGAACAATTGACTTGCCTTTGCATGTGTTTGCGACAGGTGACACCGGTAGGGCAGGATACGCTTACCTTTTCGAGAACACCTATTCGATAGTGATTCATTACCACATGCTCATTGTTTGGTCAGAGTCACGTACAATCGACTCAGCTTTTGGCAGAGAGTACTTCTGAGAATGGAACATGGTTTTATTGCTGGGTAATCCTGGCAAAGCTAGGGTGGTAAGGCTCATCATCAGCTCAGGGCCCTTACCCTTCAACGAGAACAATTGGAAGTCGGACAACTTGGTACTTGGAATGCAAGCCTAACATTGTTTCTTTTTTCTGAATCTTGTCAATAGCATTAGTGTCAAAATGGACAGCTGTCATATAGCTGGAATATTGCTGATTGTGGTGTAAAAACCACAAACAGTAAAATAAACAAACTATTAAGTATTAAGAGGTGTATATAGGCACCTGCACAGCTCAGGGTGACGTTAAAGAGTCCATAGGCCGTACAGGTTGGTTTGTGTGAAAGGATGTCCTGTCTTGGCACCGACGAGTTAAGGGATGTGTTCAAAGAACATAATAAGGGCGAATTGGTTATCCAATGCCATATGTCGTGATCCTCGCACTGAACTTAGTAACTGCACGGGGTGTCCGGCGCCCAGTGCCACTGACCATGTTTTTTTTGTTAAATAAACGGTTGTGTACAGTACATAGGAGACATTGTGGATATTGTGGAGTTTGTTACAGTTTGTCATGAGTTTTGCTATATCCATGATGAGTGAGTGAGTGAGTGAGTTAGGTTTTACGCCGCTTTTAGCAATATTCCAGCAATATCACGGCGGGGGACACCAGAAATGGGCTTCACACATTGTAATATCCATGATGACTGTTGGGAATGTATGCATGATTGCGCAAGATAAAGTATATAATACTTTGCAGAAGTTCTGCTGTGTGACAGCAGTAAACTGTACCTTAGATAAAACCATGTATGAGGTAACATATCCAGATGAACGCTTGCTTTACAAAAGGCATATGTCAAGCAGGACACTCCATTATCAATGTGATCATGTATTACAGCCGAACACTACGTTAACGGAAAAGTCTATGTACCCAGCTGAGCAATACGTACAAGATGACCTACCCAGCTGAGCACATGGCACAAGATGACCTACCCAGCTGAGCAGTACGTACAAGATGACCTACCCAGCTGAGCACATGGCACGAGATGACCTACCCAGCTGAGCAGTACTTACAAGATGACCTACCCTGCTTAGCACATGGCACAAGATGACCTACCCAGCTGAGCACTACGTACAAGATGACCTACCCAGCTGAGCACTACGCACAAGATGACCTACCCAGCTGAGCACTACGTACAACATGACCTACCCAGCTGAGCACTACGTACAAGATGACCTACCCAGCTGAGCACTACGTACAAGATGAACGACCCAGCTGAGCACATGGTACAAGATGACTTACCAAGCTGAGCACATGGTACAAGATGACCTACCCAGCTGTAGCTTGGCCGGCGATTCAGGCGGCACCCAGAAGATGACGAGAGTCAGGAGGGACAGCAGCGCACATGGCAGGATGAGGATAAATGTGTAAAACGCAACTCTCCGGCGTATTCTAAGCGTAAACAAGAGGTCTGGGTACGGCTCCGTACAACAGGTGTAGAACTTGACGTTCCTCTCGCCATAGTTGCCAATTAGGTCCCACTCGTTACTCGGCATAAAGTCACTGACGTCCATCGCGCTCTGACCTGCGACGAAGTCCAGATCCACCTTCTCACCGTGATAGGTCCACGAACCGAACTTCAGAGAACACTTTTGTGAGTCAAAGGGGAATAACAGAGTATCAAAAGAACAGGAACTGTTGAGGATAGCTTGTGGCATCCATAGAAGTTCTCCAGTGTGTTGGACAACCACCAGAGCTTCTCGTTGTTCTCGAAGGCGATCGTCGGCGCTGCAACAAATCATGAATCCAATGTCAATACATACATTCAATATTCTGTACAGTCAACGTTCACTATCATGCAGCCCACTGACTGTTTTGTTTAAACTACCACTCAAGTTACCAAATATGCTGTTTCAATTAACAACCAATCCACCAATTACAATGTTTAAAGAATCAGTCATTCTAAGCCTATGCTTAGTGCATCTACCAACTCTGCTGTTTAACCAGTCAACCTCGGGATAAGGTTAGGCTATTGTTTGACCTTGAATCAGACAACCGAATATACTCGTAGTACCCGTGATAATGCCACGTATCCCAATGACGTGTTGGTTTTATAACGAATCTGACACACAGAGGTTAAATAAATGTACCATGGGGTGATGAAGTAGATAATTCCTATCTAGCGCCGTGACTATAAGCGCATTATTCACTGTAGAACATCCAATCCTATTTCTTCTACAAGGCGACATATATCTCACCATCAAGTTGTCTCTGGCTGTTCTGATTGGTTAAAAGATTGTGCCATCACTATCGCAATTACCGTATTATCTTAACGCCTCTAAACCGAAATGGAAATATATTGGTCGTTCTTAAGACGCACTTCTCGTTACCCTCTCGTTACCCCCTTTCAGAGTCACACGCTGCCCAAATCAAACCCTGAAATAGGGTTAACTAACCGTGGTATGATGCTACACACTGCATCACCTTCAAGAGTGCTGAGTCAGCGATCGGTGGAGATATATGTTGACGAATGTCATACCATCAAAGTTAGGAAAACTATCAAGAATTTCTTCATTTGACAAATGGTTTAAACACCGCCATCAATGCTCTTTATCACAGATGAATTTTGGACTGCAGCTATTTAAGAAACATTAAGCAAACATCAACACATTTTAATAAACATTATAGTTTGGTAAGGAGGATTTCAGGCTTGAGTGGAATCTAAAATGGATAGCATAAATATTTTGGAATCAATATCAAGGCGCCGCAGCCATCTGTATTCCACGATATACCCGTAATCTTGAACACGGACATTGAGTCATCTGTATATCTGTATATTTATATCTGAATACACGTGCATTTGCATGCTGTCATCTACACACCCTTAACATCTGCAAGCTTCTGCATTGACATGTTTGTTTGTTTTGTTTAACGCTGCACTCAGCAATATTCCAGTTATATGACGGCGTACTGTAAATAATGGAGCCTGGACCAGGCAATCCAGTGATTGACATCATGAGCATCGATCCACACAATTGGGAAACGATGACATGCATCAACCAAGTCAGCGAGCCTGACCATCCGAACCTGTTAGTCACTTCTTACGACAAGCATAGTCGTCTTTTACGACAAACAAGGGTTACTGAAGACCTATTCTACCCCGGATCTTCACGGGTCATTGACATGTAGCTACATGGCATGTGTGTCAGTGTGATAAAAAATTAAAAACATGGAAAAGAATGTTTTAAAGCATACGTTGGGAAACTAGCATTGAACAAATTGCACGACTTGCAGAATAGAGGTGAGAAAGATTTGTATCACGTGATACAATAGGAATCCGATACTTTATCACTCGTTATGTTGGTGCAAAATAAGTTCTAAAATAATTCTAATCGAAGCTTCACATTGCCACAGTGGATGAAATGTAAGATATCTTGAACGGGAATCTTGCAGTTCGATTTCCCTTGTTGTGTACGCCATTGTGATTGTTTGTTTGTTTGTTTGTTTAACGCTGCACTCAGCAATATTCCCACTATATTACAGCAGTCTGCAAATGATGGAGTATTTACCAGACAAACCAGTGATTGATATCTTGAGTATCGATCTACGCAATTGGGATACGATGACATGTATCACCCAAGTCAGCGCGCCTGACCATCCGATCCCGTTAGTTGCCTCTTACGACAAGCATAGACACTTTAACAGTCAAAATACAATTTAATTCAAACTTTAACCGACTAGAATAGCATTAAAAATTACGAAAAATTATTACAATAAATCATGGTACACTTTGAACATAACACGGTGTGTGTTTACATGGTTTCACGAGTACTCGTCACACATGGTACGAATAGGTATGAGTCACACAGTTATAAAAGCTACCAACATCAATCATGTACTTTCGTAATTAACTGCCACACGGATTAGCATGGTATGCCTTGACAAAACACAAACTTAAAAACAGCGACTTTTTATGTTTTATCTTGATTCAGTGTTTAGCAAGCAAAACGGAAATGTCAACTATGATTTACTCTCTGCATCACACGCCACAGCATCCCTGTCATCTTGGAGGAACGGATGCATGTGTGATTCATTTGCTAATCTTTGAAGCATGACGTTTTTACCCAAAGACGGCCATTGTAAAAAGTTAAAAAATATAAAAGTGGGTTAAGGTTTGACGAAACAAAATAATCATTGACAATTTCCATTTTCGAAATGTGCTGTAATATTGATGTAATAACTTGAGACATCAGATTCGGTTACATGGCTTACTTAATGAAGGAGTTACTGTGATCACGCTCTGGGGCGTCCCAGGCATCAAATGACACGACGCCTCTGGCTACAGCAGCATCAGCAACAACAACACCTGATGATCAAGCTGTTCAGCTGACGTCACCATTTAACATAAATGTAGGACATGTTCTTTCACGTGTTATTTAAAATATCTCAGCCACAAGAGACAATCTATGTCCCACATCGTTCTGGCGTTCGAACTCTTTGAAAAAGATCAGGAACTATTAACGTATTGACAAAAAAAATATTTTTTATCCATTGAACGATGACATCTTTAGTGCAGTTTTTACCAGTTGATCACTTTCAAACTATTCATTATGGAACGATTCACGGAACACCACACGCAGATGGCACAGAGCCAACGACAACGCAGTAAAAAATGTATCACTGTTCTGACGCTGACAATACGCTTTGTACAAGAAGAGAGTAATCTTTATCAAGTCGACTATTAAACATAAAGCCCCACACGTAACTACAGTCGACTGTGCCCTAAACGAATACGCCCACGTATCAGAACTTGACTACATTCAGTTTGGTTCATTGTTTGCACAAGAACGCCATGCGATGGTATATTTAGTTATGTGTAATTTACACTGGTGGGCAGGCAATGCTCTTCAGGAACACCCGGTGGCATCACTTTCGTGACCGCCTCCGTGGTCTAGTGAAAGAGCGTCCGCCCGGAGAGCGGAAGGTCCGGGGTTCGATCCCCAGCCGCGTCATACCAAAAGACGTTAAAAGATGGTACTTGTTGTTACCCTGTCTGGCGCTCGGCATTAAGGGGCTAAAACAAGGACTGGTCGGCTCGGAGTCAGTATACTGTGTCTGAGTATGGTATTCATGTTAATCTGCGGCATGGTATTTCAGTGAGCTAGCACTATAAATCGGCATCTTTCTGGACTAGTACAAGCAGCCACACAAACACACACACGTACATGCACGTCGCTATATAAGTGCAATAATCTTGGACGCGACGTTAAACCCCATTTCACCTCACCTCACCTCATCACTTTCGTGATAGTGATTTATTAACACATGCTTATAATATAGTCGGAATCGAAAATGGACTTGGCTTAAAGCAGATATTTTTTTATGATTATGGAAAGAGTTTATTTGCTTTTATTTACCTTAAACCAGGTTTTATGATGAACGGGGTACTTACAAATTGTACAAGTAAATATCTGGAAGCCATATTTTGTCTGATGGCACCCTGACACTTGTGATGTTGTCGTGCCGGGTCGGGTCCCATGTCAACAGCAGGTCCGTCCAGATCTGCAACACAGGACAACACACGGCAATGTAGCGACCTATCGTTGGCAGCAGCAACATATCACATTCATGTGCACAATGGTGTACATTAAGCACGCATGTACACAATGAAATAGATTAAACATTCGTGTACATATATGAAGTTGATTAAACGATAGTGTAAATATGTGTATGGAAACGTTGAACTGTGTACACGTGTGTAGGGCAATAATCAATCATGTCCACGTGTGAAGGGGGACAGTCAATCATGTACACGTGTGTAGGGAAACAGTCAGTCATGTTCACGGGTGTAGGGAACAGCCAATCATGTCCACGGGTGTAGGGAAACAGTCAATCATTTATACGTGTGTAGGGAAACAGTCAATCATGTAAACGTGTGTTGGGGAACAGTCAATCATATACGCGTGTGAAGGGGAAATAGTCAATCATGTACACGTGTGTAGGGAAACAGTCAATCATGTTCACGGGTGAAGGGAAACAGTAAATCATGTCTACGTGTGTAGGGGAACAGTCAATCATGTACACGCGTGCAGGGAATCAGTCAATCATTTACGCGTGTCAAGAGGAAAAAGACAATCATGTACGCGTGTGCAGGGAAACAGCCAATCATGTACATGTGTGTAGGAAAACAGATAATCGTGTACACGTGTTTAGGGAAACAGTCAATCATGTCAACGCGTGCAGGGAAACAGATAGACATGTACACATGTGTAGGGAAACAGTCAATAATGTACACGCGTGCAGGGAAACAGTCAATCATGAACAGGCTGCACTGGATCCCCTCCGCACAGCCCGGGCTGTACGACATTGAACACAAACAGACAACAAAAGCGCCAACCAACTACTGCCAGCAGATCACATTTGACTTCACTCAGCTAATCTGCTTGAAGGCCACGGGAAATCCCACATTGGACAGATTGCCACATTGCTGACAATGGAGGGACCAGGGAAATAGAAGATTACATGTAATGTTCTCAGACGAGTCCATATGCATCCAAGAGTTCCTGTATACGGATGGCCGTGTTTTAGGAGAACGCAACCGCAGGTAGTTTGACAGATACGATGGCGGTTTAGTGATGATATGGGGTGGGGTACCAGGACTTACAAACGTCATTGAAAAACGTCTGGAGGAGTCACGAGACACTACGTCAGTGGCATCACACAGACGCATCTGCTTTCCTCTGCATGCAACGCTGGTCGACGGTTTGTCTTCCATGATGACAATTCACGACCTGCCACTGTGTTCTTGTATCAGAAGCAATCTTACTACGGACACCTATGAGCCCCTATCTTTTCCCCGTGGTGCCGTATAGGGCATCTTCAGAAGACATCTACTGTCCCCGACACACGCTAGTGAGAGGAATGGTCCGAGTGGGAGAAGATACTCCCAGATGACCATTAGACGGACATGTGTCATCAGGACCATGACATGTCGAATAAATGAAAGATTTGTGAATCCCGGACACACATGCAGCGTACATTTTCAGAATGCATACATGGTGACCTGGTGACAATCCTGATATGTCAAATCCTCCATTGTCTCTCGTAAACATCGTTAAACACTTCGGCATATGTGCCAGATATGTTGTTGTTCTTGGATAAGCGATATCATTTTTACAGTTTAAATCAGGAAACATTATAAACATTGAACACGAGTGTCGTGGAGGAATATATGACGAACACGTTTGTTTGTTATACAATCTATTAGAGACACGTGTAGAAAGCATTCTGTTAAGTAAGCGTATGTGTTGGGGTGGGGGAACAAGCATGATTTACTATGGTCGTCCTTAGCTGTCCACTCAGTCAAAAAGGACTTACATAATGGTACCATATGTTCAGCTTGAGAACCTGGTTCTTCTCATCGACGTCTAGTATCTGTATGAGAGAGAGGCTGAAGTTCACCCTGAGGGTGTCGTGGTAGTTGTACACAGGGCGACCTTGCTTGCCGAAGTCCTCATACCGCGTCAGCAGGTCCCGGATCAGAAGCTTCTCCGTGGACTCCGTCACCAGGGGAGGCAACTCTTCTGCAATAATAACAAGATATTTAATTTGCAAAAGATGACATACAATCTGTCTGACATACAGATGACATACAATCTGTTTGACACATGTTTGGTGCAGACTCGATTATTAACAGACCGTCGCCATAGAGCTGGAATATTGTTGAGTTAGGCGTTAAACCACAACGAAACAAAGGTGACTGAGTGGGTTAGATCGCTGACTTTGTGTGCTGGTGATCAGGTGCCTGGCTCTGGCAGTTTGGGTTCGAATCCTGGATGGGACTCAACCCCCAAAAGTACTAGAATCTATACTTTACTTAAAAAGTGTTTTCGTAATATAACATTTGTTACATTTGACCACTTTCTAAATGGCATTGTGTGGTCATAACAAAGAACCAAACATAACCATGATGCTGTTACAGACCTGACAAGGTTGATTATAAGAGCTATATACATTAACTAAGCTGCTCTGAGATTATCATATGTATTAAAAGCCTAACAAATTGACGTTGATCTTTTGTTGAGTCATATCTCAGATAGAGTAAAGGTCGGCAGCAGCACGGTGGTGATGTGTAACATTCCGAACAGTCAGTCCTCAGTTGTGGTGGCTATTTGGGCACTAGGGAGACATGTGTGGATGACAATATCAATTCTGGCAATATCAAGAATGTCCCTGATCCGACTCAGTGCCTTTATGATACCCTCGTACAGGGTACTCGCATTGTGCGACATACTTCATTACTGAAATTGCCATGGGAAGCGACAATAAAGGCCTGACGGATTCCCGGCATCCTTGTTCACCCTCCATGTCAATAGCCGGCGGTCGTTGCAGCAGTCGCCGCCGAGGATGTAGTCACACGCCACTACCACCATCTTACTAATGCCGCGAGATTAATTAAGTTCCAGAGCACAGTCTGTTCGAAAAACCATCACGGCACTGCTTAGAATATTGCCAAGTTTTTCGCACAGTGTATGTAGCTTGAATAAATTTCATGGTTTACATCACAGACGTGTATATATCTGACATAGTGTCTAGGCTTCCACTCTATGCGTGTATCTAGACTTCTGTTCAGATTTCCATTCTAAGTGTGTTTCTAGATTCCTTCTCAGTTTTCTACTTTGTGTGTGTTTCTAGAATAATTTCACAACCCTATTCACACAGTATTAAAGTTTTTTTCATCTTTTCATCATTTTTGCACAGTATCTCAAATCTGCTTCACGTGACTATTTGCAAAGTATCTCAAATCTGTTTCATGTGACTATTTGCATGGGATCTCAAATCTGTTTCATGTGACTATTTGCATGGTATCTCAAATCTGTTTCATGTGACTATTTGCATGGTATCTCAACTCGTTTTCACGTGACAAGATGAGCATTAGCCAGGCATTAGCATTGACGAACTATATTTTACACTGAAATTGATCCATATACCAAGCTACACTGTACATTGACTCTTCAATCAAGAAATATAGTTTTTTCCGATTCAACCATAGTGAAATGTATTTCTTAGTTATGAATTTAGATATAATCCCCGTCTTTCATGTGGTACGATGTGGCCTATAGCACTTACAGATTAATACGGCTCCAGAATGGGCTGGGGTGTCTGAGCATAAACTGTGCTGAATCAACTGTCAGGAGATTGTAAAACGTAAACCGTCTTTAAGAGCACTTGGAGAAAGGGTACATAACTTGAATAATTGCTTTCATCGACTTGCAAAAGAAACACGCATGAGTGATGGGTGCGCAAACAGGAGCGCAAGAAGGGTAATGACTAGGAGCCATGGCGTACAAGTACCCCCACATTAATCATAACATGCCATTGTAGCAGCTCTGTGTCCATCTCTCTCTCCACAAACACCATTATATCACAAATACAAACCTACGAAGTCCAGTGTAATATTTCCATGGTCCAATGTAGAGTAATTAATTGCAGGAACGGACAAGTAGAAAGTCGATATAAGCTGTGGTTTGTTCGTTGTATTGAGTACGTGAATAGAACGTTCAAGCATCTCGCCATTAACTGTATAGAAAACTATGGCACGCAGAAGCTTTCGGGGATTAATTTGCAGGTATACAACAACATCAGTACGAGTGGCCACCCTCTGGAGGAGATGGGCTCAGCATGCACCTGGAAAACATCGTCAGATACATTGTAGCCACTAAGAGTCCGATTCCGACTATATCCTAAGCATGCGTTTATTAACCACAACCAAATAGTGACGATACCAGGTGTTCGCGAAAACGTATCCTGCCCCAATGACGGCATCTGTCACAAACACATGCAAAGGCAAGCCATGCATTCAGCCGAAAAACTCAGGAGCATATGGGGCAACGCAAAATAGGGAATTGCATTGGACATATTGTTTGCCACTGATGGGTCAAATTTGGAAATAAACTCCCCATGCCTACCATAAAACGTATTGAAGGCTTTACTGTTGCCTTGAATGAGTATCCTTGATCAAACATTTTTACGCAAGAGTCGTATGACGCTCTTTGAAATCTCGGTAGAAAGGAGACCGTGATATGTAGACATCAAGGGTGAGATCTGCTTTAATGTTACTCGACATACAGGGAAAGTTGACTTTATAAAGTTGAAGTCATCGCTCATGTCATACAGTTTTGTAACTGAAACTTAATGAATATATCTAAAGGCGGATAAATCAGTGGAAGGGAACTGACTATTTACTGTTTATCGAACGATATCAGATCAACTATATACCTGAAGCCTATCAGTAAGTTAAACTTATCTTGTTTTCACTTTGTCAACCCGAGCAGAAATTCCGATTCTAAATATCTAAATATGAAACAGGCGAGGCGGTCTCGATTATCCGACGAAGAAAAAATCCATTGGCAAAATAGCAGTCACCACTGAAAATCTGTGATGACACCGGTTGTTCGAAAGTCAGTGGAAAGGACTTCTCTATTTGACCGCTATTTTACATCAAATTAATATAGATATATACCTGAAGCTTAATTTTGTTTTGATATTTGTCAGTCCCAGCTGAGTTCCGATTCGTATGCATAAAGAAACGGATCATCAAGAAATGGGGCACATTTGTGACAATTGGGATCCCTACTTCTTGCCTTAATGTCTCATCCCCAAATGTCACATATCAAAGAGGAAGTCAAGCATTTCAGATAGTTTTTCTCAGTAAAATTCAGAAGACTTTTGCTTTCATTTGGTAGCACGCGTCCCATGGATCACGAAATGAAGTTTTTCCTCAAGTTTGCCGTGTTGAGTGGTGTTGTACAAGGTTGAAAGATCAAATATTTTGACAGAATTGAACTTGATTTTTTTCTGAGATTGCACATTTTCAAGCATATCAATTGAGGTTTTGAGAATCTACATGATAATAATTCAACTTGTCTCAAATAATTTCTGTAATTATAAAGAAAGAACTTCCTTTACTGTATTAAGGGTTATGATTAATTTCAATGAGAGTGATTTGGTGGTACATTTGTTGGACCAAGCAATATATCTCTCTACGTACGAATGTTTATGGAGTTTTGGAATATAGTACCAAAGGTAGGACTGGTCATGTCTTCAGGTTTTAGGGCCATGTCAAAAGTGGATAGTAATGATGTGTGGTTTGGGCCGATTTCTACCTCGGTTGACATACTGATCTTATGTGTGTGGCATAAGTTAATGCGTTACTCATACAAAGTACTTTGATATAAAAACAGTTATTGTAGCGCTGTTTACATATGACGGTTATCTTATGTTAGGCCTTGTCAGTGGAAACGAGTTTTTCCCGTAGCGCAGCCAGACTTCAGACCACAGCTGGCTCGGACACAAATGGTTAATTCAAATTCTGTTTTGTTTTCGAGTTTGTGTATTCTACCAATGACAACATTACAACATTACGCACTGGCTTAACCTATTGTGTCAATTTTTGGTACATGCTTTCACAACATCCATAATGGTTTTGAGGTGTGATCCCAATTGGTAGGAGGTTGCTCAAGATATTTTGGTCGATATTTGAATACTTGACAAAGGTTGTTGTTGTTAACGATAGAGAAGTTTCTTCTCATTATATGACTAACTGGCTGGTAGCTGTATGGTGGTTCTTGGCAGTCACAAGTAGTGGAATTTATATCTTGAGATGCCCAGTTCACGTTCTCCAACACTTTCCTAGTGTTCCTAACTGAACAACTTGGATGGAATGGTGTTCGCATAAAAAAATAAAACTATTGGTGGTTCCTGAAATATTGTGGAAAGGTATATTATTATGTGAATTTAAGGCATCAGGAACATGCTGTCTTGGACTGATTTAGTGGAGTCTGTCTGGTGTGGCCAAATGTTTCAAAGCAATATCAAGAACTATACTCTGTAGTCAATACTGTGGGCTCTTCCTGTTTGCAAACCCATCCATAAGCACAAGTTACAGTAGCCGTTCATTTTCTTTCAATGACACATAGTATGGTCTTGTCCATAACTTGTGCAGTCCCAATGGTTCCTGAAGGAGAGGCAACAAATCTTCCGAATTAACGGTATCAGCTGACACTCGTCCTTACTTGTGACGATGGCTCCGTCGATGTCTTTGGAACTCAATACATTGACGTTGGAAGTTCATTGGTTAGAAAGACTGACAACGTCTTTTATTTTGTCATTACGTCTATGTGGCATTGCTTCAGATTTTAACCGGTGTGAGAGAAACTTTGAAACTGGAGAACATCACGAGGAGAAACTAGAAGGAAATATGATGACTTTCCTACATATACAAACGTTAATACAAGCAACTTTACCGTTTCCCTAATCATAACAAATCTCTGCTAAAGGCAGTGTCTGATTCAAAATATATCATAAGCATGTATTTGTAAACCACTATCAAATAGTGGTGACACCAGGTATTCGCGAAAACGTTACACCTGTGACAAACACATGCAAAGGCATGTCAAATGTTCACCTAAAAAAAAACACGGGGACATATGGTACAAGTCAAAACAAGGAACTGCATCGGACATAATTTTGTTCACTGATGGGTCATATGTGAAAACGGCATCCACCTATTTAACACAAAACC